AACAAAGCAAAAATCAGCACTATATTCATATATTCTGATCCCATCAAGTGATGCGTGCAGATGGGAAACTTGACTAGTTAAATTAAGTTTGTTCGCTAGAGTCTTTGATGTTGATTGGCCATTTTTACAAATGAATGCTGCACTGAATGACACAAAAGACAATGTTTATAGAGGAAGTGTTATTAAACTGACACATTTATTTCACATTTCAAGACAATGCCACCAGTACATAACTAAAGAAACGTAGGTCTTTCATAAACGACTCAGTATCTTAGAGGAAGTCATCAAATTATTGCAGGCCGATTTCTTTCCTCGCTGTGCATGAACTATTTACCATAACAAAGGTTTCACATTTTCATTCTCTAAATAACAGTTGAAAAGACTCAAACCATTTCTGAAATTTCTGGCCTCATGTGCCTACTCCTTGCTTTGTGGTGTGCTCCTGTTTTTAGCAGTAAAGGGTCAAAAGGGGCAGAGACGTTGGCAGTGAAAAGGACAGCCTTTGTGTTGTGTGGCTGGAGACATAAAGAATAAGCTTAGAGGGGAGTTTTGTAACATAGGGATTTTACTTAACCTCATTAGTTCCAGATGGGCCCTAATACAGTAATATGCCTCATGGCAATGAATTGGGTTAATATATTGAAATGTCAGTTTTTAAACCACAGGATACTGATGTTTGTGTACCTATTTGCACTTTTGTTTAACATAGTTTAAACCGAGAAACATATGAGAGACCTGTAACACAGTTCCACCCAGTAACTCTATACCAAACTTCTCCCTTGGATTGACACATGTTGTGACGTCTAGTCTATCATCCTATTGTTTGTGTATCTAAATCTTGTCAAACAATATTCTAAGGTAGCTCATCAAAGTGACACTGTTAAACCACGACTGGTTTGGTTGCAGTATTATTTCTTTTAGCCTGCGGGATTTACCTTAACCATCTGGCCATGAAAATAGATCAAAAGTTATCTAATGTGTACCTTGTATGTCTATATTCACCATATGACTTCTAATAAAAAGAGTCAGTGCAAAAAAATAAAACAATAGGAGAAATGTAATAACAACTAATAATAGCACAATGTTATTTAAACTACCCCAAAAAAAGAACAGTATGTGCTGTTTAAACTGCTTAAACAACAGAGTGACTGGTAATGATTGTCCTAGAGTGAAATTGTTTGTTTATTTGTCTTAGAATACTGAGCATAAGCAATCTTAATGTTATTGGCTGAGTAGGTATAAAATGCACGGGACTATCCTAAAATAAGTTATTATCTGCATTAGGTGCATTTACACAGAGTTAAATTAGCATACAGCTAAAATACATAGATGACCGCATACCAAGCTAGCTAATTCAAAAGCTATTTACCAAACATATATAGATGTGTATTGTTGTATTATCATTGTATGTATCTATCTACCAATGTATGCCTCTAATACTATAATAACAGTGTAGGAGTTTCTGAGACACAATTCATTCCATGCTTTTATGCTAACTATACTTACAATTTGCTGTCATTAATGAAGTTACATTTTCATGAACATGTGTTTTTTTAGCATTCAATCTTCTCATGATGCTGCTCTTAAGAGCACATCAGAGACACTTGAAAGCCTTTAAGAAACTCAAAGAGGGTAAAATGTTCTCCATAATAAAGCAAAATAACAGTGATTTACACTTCATAGCCAAGTCAATAATTGGGAATTTTATATTCCGATATGTGAAGCAATAACAAACACATAGGAGCTAAAAAGTAATAGTAATGGTATATATTTTGAATACAGGCTTATTATGATATGGCATTTTAATCACAAGACTCATATGATGTATTACTAAGTATCTTCCAAAGAGTTCATTCTGACTGTGCCACCTTCAGGAGAAAAAAACGTTCTAGGTCATCATTTTCTAAAAGAACAATGGAATATAAAATCTTCCTAATTTGAGCCCTCTATTTGACTTGGTACAAAGGCAGTACTCTTATCCAGGATAGGTAAAGTAAACTTCCTTTTCTGGAATATACTATAATAAGCATGAATTGAGAATTCTAGCTTCTAACTATAGCTGTGTGGATTTGCAACATTGTGTAAAACTCTAAAAATAACTCTGACATATGCAATATGTTTCACAATGACATAGGATGTAATGCAAAGATTCACTTCATATGGTATACTGTGAAAAACCGCAAAGTGAGACAATCATGACTCTGTTCATAAGGAAAATAAAACATATGCACTTGATTCTAAGGAGATGATAGGCATGACATATGTACATATAATTCACATTATTTACATAGGGCCTAGTTTTCTTGCATCGTTCAAAAACATATTTTGGGCTACTTTTTATTTATTTATTTGTATTTTTTACATTCTAGCGAGTCTGGTAAGGATGGGCAAACAGAATAGCTTAAAGAAAATCAGTTATTATCAAATGGTAATGAACAAATAGTAGCAAAGACTAGCAACAAATAGTAAAAATATCAGAAGTAGCACGTAAATAGTTGGCAAAAAGAGATTTCATGACCTTCCCTTAACTGTCTCTTTTAAGATAATTATTACATGTTTTTATTGCTCCTAGTTTTCTACTACCTCTTTGTCTGGGTCACACATTCAGTTCAATTTTATCTACGGCATCAATCCTTGACATGTTTGGCGATCTGTATTGTGTCAAGGTTTAAATTGTAATCTACGGATGGAGAAGGCTATGTTACAGAGAAAGTGTGCCATGTTAAACAAATGTGTAGAGGGGCCATAAAATATTTCTTTTTACTTGGTGTTGGATACCTCATGGAAATCAAGAACCAAGTAGAAAATAAATGATATGTCAGCTCTTCCTGTTTTGGGGCAATACATTTGGTTCCAACTGTACTTCACACCTTGAGCTGTGTGTGTCCTCAAACACATCATAATTAAAACTTTAGAAGCTCTACACTTTGGCCATGATGTTTTGTGCAAGTGGTGTCTTTTCAGTCTATCATTTTCACAAGGCCAATTTGTCAATTATTGATTATATTATTGAATAGGTAATACCTGACATATTAAAAATGGAATATTCAATTTTTTTCTCATGTATTCAATTTCTTTTTTATGTATTCATCTGTTAATGCCATAATGGGGTGACACCATGACATTGTGTTAATTTGGGGTAACAAGATGCAATTTTTTGTTTTTAATTGTAAAAAAGTTGCATTATAAAAAATTCCTAATACCGATTTATCACTTTCAACATTAACCTACGTAGTAATTACCAAGATCAATATGAACCCAAATGTTCTGAGAAAACATACTAAAGCAATGTTTCAGGACAATATAAAAAAAAGTTACTGGAACCACAAACTAGTAGACAGGTAGTGGCAACCGATGCCTTAGTTCTTACAGCCATCTATTACAAGTCAAATTATTTTACTTTTGCATCCTGGGACCTTTCCCAAAACTCCTTCATAGTCATCTTTGCTGTCTTATTTTCCAGCCTTGATATGCAAACATCAATTACTATTTTGCGTAAAGTTTCTTCAATGACATGAGGTTTTGAGTTAAGGGATGAATATATGTGTAAACGACCTTAATAGTTATACAAACTTTTTCTATGCAACCGAAATCAAATTTCAAACATAAGCTAGCTTAAATTTTTATTTTATCGAATCAGATCAACACAATTGGAATGCCTATGCTTTTCTCAGTACAATTTTACAGATTTTGTTTTACTGATATAATATTTACAGTATAACAAACCACTGTAGCCAATATTTAGATAATACGATTCTACACCCAGGACAAAGGGGAAAATAATCAGCAGAACACAATTATATCTTATAACTGTGACAACTTTCATTCCTGGCAAAGCACTGAGAGATGATTGCATAAGAGCAGCACTGCTATTAAGGCATATCAATATGAACTTGAACAATGACTTTTGTATTGCGGAGCTTGGGTTTTTTTTTTCAAAATAAAGTTTTTACATCTGCAGAATGACAGTTAATTAGTTCAAAGTGTGTTGTACATAGTAGTGAATGACCTTCTTGTTTCTCTTTTATTGATCAGCATTCAGTCCCCATCCCATCCTCTTATGAATAACACAGCTATGAGGACTGTCTACAAAAAAGACAAATGATTGAAGTAGCGTTCACCCTAGCAGTTGTAATGTAATAAACTCAGAGACTACTATTGCTCTTGACTCATTTCCAAGGCTCAAGGAACAACTTCCTAACAAGACATCAGCATAAACCCTGCAGCAACGCTCTGACCCAAGAGTCAACTCCATTCTCATCTCCTCCACAATATTATCAGTACTGCACAGCATGAGATCACTTTGGTGTAGTGTAATACAGGGACCATACCAGAACACTAGAATTAGCTATTTTCTTTTCACTTACTAATTGGTCATGCAAAATATTAAATTAAAAAAAAAGAAGGACATATTATTACAACATGTAAAGAATGAATGGTTACTGTATCCCCATTATGTGTAAATGGTTCTATTGTTAACTTTTACTCTGCTTAGAAATTGATCATAAAGGTGTTGCCAATAAGTAAATTATAAGGAATCTGAATATTACCCATGGCAAAATATTTTACATATTATGCTTGTAAATTTATATCTGCACCAAGTGATTTTTATAAGCTTCAAGTCACTACTTATTTGCTGTAAACATAACACCTACAAGTTATTTGTGAACTACTCCATACAGCTTTAATAAACAAAGAAATACATTCAATTTACAGATCTTGAACTGGCAAGCTTGGTTCTCTGCATTCCACTTCATTTGTACATGCTACCATAAGTGATTGCCAGCATTATAGACACAGTGACACAATATGAATGCAGCATAAATATAAACACATGCATATGTTGTAGTCTTCTTGCTTTTCCCTCTTAGAGTGATGAATGCTGGTGTCACAGAGATATTGCACTTTGATTGTCAGTGTTGCTGCCTAATGTGTTTAGTGTGAACATAATGTAGGCACATAAATAACGTTCTGGCTGGAAGATAAATGATAGAGCTCACCTTCATTGCTTGGGTTAGGGATGGTCCTTGAGTAGGTGCTGGTGACAAGCCATATCCAAAGGGTTAAGTGGGTCCCAAATCCAGCCCAGGTACCAACCGACCAAGAAGATCCACTATGAAACCAGGGCAGTCCAGCAGCAGATTTGGCATCGTTGACCTGCAGCATCTTCTCCCAGCAGCGATCTTTTAAATAATAAAAAAAAGCCCACTTGCCTGGCTAAGTCTGTTTCAGAGCACACTTGTCCTAGGATCCTATTCAGCTGCCAGTGAGTCAATCCCTTCAACGGTTGTCAATCCAATAGCTGGTGGCTATCAAGCACTTGTCCCTTCTCCTTGCTGTCAGAGGTGGCTTTCTGGTACTGGGATGTGATCAGGTGTAAGGGTCGCTTTTTCCTTTCTCCTCCTCTCCTCCAAATAACCCTGATGTGCCTCCTCCGCCTCTCCTCCTCTTCCACACTTTGATTTGGACGCGTGTGATGGCTCAGAGGAGCCAGATGACGGGTGTAGAAGATGAGGGATGTGACAACATCAACCCCCACACTTTTTTTTTTTTTTAAATCCCCCCCAACCAAAAGTCAGGCGTTCAGCAGCATGATGGTAGGATGGAAGGGAAAATAGGAGGTGAGCTGAAAGAGGGAGGAGGGGAGGAGAGCAAGGCTTGGGAGATTGCAACTAGCAATGATGTCCAAATTAAGCAGAGCAGATCGGGAAGAGTCCCTGGAGGAGGACATCACATGGAAGATGCTGAGTGACATGTACTTGAGGTGCTTAGAGGGCAGGCTTGGAAGAGGGAAATCGGGTCTGAAAAGTGACAGAGGTAGGAAGGGAAACAAATGGGGAGGTTACATAGATGAAGGAAGCAAAGGATGTCAAGAAGTAAACATCCAGACGTCAGATCTGTGCTGCTGCTGCGATCGCTGAGTCCAGAGCCCAGCTGAGCTGCCAGGGATGCTGATCACACATCCAGCTCAGCAGGGGGGAGAGGAGAAAGTCAGTGGGAAGTTCAGCCTAGCCAGTGCACTTTCAAGGAATCAGTCTGAGCACAGCATCAAAGCCTGGATTAAATTGCCGAGCTTCTGTCCACAGCATCAGACTCTCAGTGTGACTGTAAGGCTCCTGTCCGCAGCATCATAAGTGAATGAATGTGAGTGCACAGCGATCAGAGGCTGTGTGTGTGCTTACCAGGCTCTGCATTACAAGCTGGATGTGACTGCCAGGCTCCCCTCCGCAGCATTAGAAGCTGAGTGTGACTGCTGGGTTCCTGTAGCCTCTGGTGTGTGTGTGTGTGTGTGAGTGTGTGTCTGAGCACGATGCACGCAGTGGCTGAGCTCCTAATGCTGCTGCTACTGCTGCTGCTAGTGAGCACTGTGCTGCCACAGATCCCCCATGTTCCCTGCAAGGTACATGTCCTTCCCATTCAGACTTACTTCAGCCCTTCTTCAAAATAGGCAGATCGATGAAGACAAAACCAATATAAAATGTGGCATTTGATTGTGAAATCCCAATAAAAATCAGGTTGATTAAACTATATAGTCAGGTTAAATAAAATGTATTCCTGGGTGTTCTGGTCATTACTGATTGGTTAGAAATGCATGGTGTCTGAAAATGCACTTGTGGGTTTTAACTGGAAGCAGCACTGGGGGTTCAAAATTAGGGCATCAATTTTCAGGGATGCCACTGCATCAAATAGGGATGCAACTGCATTCAATTTCAGGGGTACTACTGCATCAAATAGGGATGCAACTACATTCAATTTCAGGGGTGCTACTGCATCAATAGCGTGACTACTGCATTCAGTTTCAGGGGTGCTACTGCATCAATAGGGGGCAACTGCATTCAGTTTCAGGGGTGCTACTGCATCAAATAGGAATGCTGCTGAATTCAATTTCAGGGATGCTACTGCATTCAGTTTCAGGGGTGCTACTGCATCAAATTGGGATGCTACTACATTCAGTTTCAGGGGTGTTACTGCATCAAATATGGATGCTCCCACATTTAGTTTCAGGGGTGCTACTGTATCAAATAGGGATGCTACTGAATTCAATTTCAGGGATGCTATTGCATCACATAGAGATGCTACTGCATTCAGTTTCACAAATGGTACTGCATTCAAATGTAATGCTACTGCAAATGTAATGCTACTGCAGTGATTTTCAGGGGTGCTGCTGCATCAAATATGGAGGTTACTGCATTCATTTTCAGGAATGCCACTGTATTCATTTTCAGGGATAATACCAAATTTAATTTCAGGGATGCTTCTGCATTCAATAGGGAACCTACTCTATTCAATTTTTGGGATGCTACTGCATCGAATAGGAAGGCTACTGCATTCAATTTCAGTGATGCTGCTGCATTCAATAAGGATGCTACTGCATTCAATAGGGAGGCTATTGTATTCAATTATAGGCAAGCTACTGCATTCAATTTCAGAGGTGCTACGGCATCAAATAGGGATGCTACCGTATTCAATTTCAGGGGGTGCTACTGCATCAAATAGGCATGCTACTGCATTCGAAAGTAATGCTACTGCATCCAATTTCAGAGGTGCTACTGCATTCAAAAGAAATGGTACTGAATTCGGTTTTAGAAATGCTGCTGCCCTAAATTTCAGAAATGCTGCTGCCCCCAATTTCAGAAATGCTGCTGCATCCAATAGTGTGACTCTTGACACTGACCAAATACAAATCAGTTTGGTAAAACTAATAGCCTGGCTTGATAAAATTAATTTCAGAAACGCATCATATCTAAAAATGCTCTTATGCATTTGAACTGTAAGCAGCACTAAGGGTTAAAAAAAGTACCTGCACCTACATCACTACACCTAGCCAAAATAGGGTGCATATGGGCAGGGCAGTTCACAAAACAACAGGATACAAAAGAATTCCTCACACAATTACAAGCTAGTCAGCACAAAAACAGAGCAACAAAAAAATGCAAACGGTTTCAAGAAGATGATAGCAAATGAAATTCAGGTACTTCTACCAGTTGTATTTGAGTATTCTTGTTATGGTTTTTATTAATGAATAGATATAATAAATTCAATATATCTTTGTGAATTTGAGCTTTAAATGTGTCCATATGTAAAAAGCTCCTCATTAATTAGTTGTGTCTATACATTTATCATGTACCCATACAAAGATGGACAAACTAACCAAAACACTGCATGTGAAATAAAATAAAATGGAAAGATAACTATGAATAAAATCAGCATCAGACAACTATGGGCTTAACTGAAAACAGTAACTATATTTTTCTATTACCCAACCTTTATGCGTGCTTAGAGCCTCCAATGCCATCTATAATATATAATAGGCACAAATTGTGTCAGCAAACTAAAGACAAGTGGGTTGGGCCTGCCAAAGACCCCATCATTCTGTAGAGCCATTATGAGGCAGGCCCTGTCAAGTTTCTTCATTTACTGCAGGAGCAGCAGTGTGCAAGGCTCTAAACACTATGCCGAGGGTGCATGGTATAATGGTACAGTTGCTGGAGTTACATAGTATTACTGTTTACAAGTCCATTGCTGCCCTATGCTTACTCTTACTGCACATGCAAGTGTGTCCTCCCAACTACATCCTCCCTTTGATACATGCATTCTGTAGGTAAGCTCTTGGAGTTGTGCAATAGGAGGGGAACAAAATATGCTTTTGTCTTTACTTCAGCTTGCAAAATGACTGCAAAGGTGAACTGGTTGAACGTGATGGGAACCCATCTAAGCCAATGTCTCCCACACACCCAAAGGTTTGACTAGGTTACTGCCTTCAGAGAACTACAAGTTTGGATAGGTATTTGTATAATTCTATGGAAACCAATAACCAAAGAATATACTAAAAATTCCCAAAATAGCTGCTGTGCCAACGCAAATGTGCTACAAATCAAATTAAATTGCACTGCGCTGAAGGTTTATACACGCATAATTGCGATAAATACTGCCGGGAACAGTGGTGAACCTTAGGAACAAATGGCCCTGATGAAATATTTTTTCTCTGGCCCCCTACCTGCTACCAACCCGTCCGGCGGTCTCTGCACCAAAGGAGCTTACACTCTAATGTCCCCCCCAAATCACACGCTATTATTATTATACATTAATATATCTCTGACATATGCCGCAGTGATGTATGGAGAACACTGAGCCAGTTACATTATTCTCTGTACAGAGGAGCTTACACTCTAATGTCCCCCCCAAATCACACACTATTATTATACATTTATATAGCTCTGACATATACCACAGTGCTGTACAGGGAACACTGAGCCAGTCACATCAATCTCTGTACAGAGGAACTTAAACTCTAATGCAGAATGGCACCAGCTGTAGAGAGACTACAAATCCCAGCAATACATTATACAGCAAAGCAGAATATTATATGAATTGGGCTCCTGGACCCTGCACTTAGCAACGCACTGGACTCTGCACTTAGCAATGCACTGGACTCTGGACCTAGCAAAGCACTGAACTCTGGACCTAGCAACACACTGGACTCTGGACCTAGCAACACACTGGACTCTGGACTTAGTAACGCACTAGACTCTGGATTAAGGTACACACTGGACTCTGGATTGCAATATTTCATTCAACACAGGGGTAGAGAAACAGGTTAGAATCAATTTCTCTATTTAAATTAAATCACAGCACACTGCAGTTTCTGCCGCCCCACACCTCCTGGGCTCGAAATCAGCAATC